AATTATAAATAAGCATTTATATTTGTGTACACGCTGTTTAGATTGTCAAAAAGCCTGTGTTTTTAGGGTTATTAACGAAGTTCGTGTACTCAGACCAGTAATATTTGGTGTCACAAGTTTTTGCAATGCATATTTTGTGGGTCAGAAGATAAAAAATTTGGGAACCACTGGTCTAGATAGCCCATAGACATACCATAAAAAATTCTAGGACCCATAATTGGTCTCCTTTAAGCGTGACACTCATAATATGAAGTAGATTTACTTTGATATGTTAAACATTTATTTAATTCATTTTTTATTGTGTTGATCTGTACATTGCTGTTCCAAATAGTAGCAGAAAATATAGTAAAACTTAGCTGTACACAAAACTGTGTGGATCCTCCCAGATATATCCATTACCTTTTTTCAGAGAAGCGCAAAGACACTTTTGTGCCAGTTTGAAATGAATTGTTCAGATAACATTGCAGCTCCCAATCTGTAGAATCATAAAAACATGTGGTGTTTAGAGGTGAAGTACCATTATTGTGTGGTTTTACAAACAACGGTTGGCACGCACATAGTGTTGATTATTTCTTCCCTGTGAAGCAGCAAATCTTCACTATGGTTCTCACCTCTCAGCGTTTCTTAAAACAAACACATATATAAAATGAAACCCCCACTCTTTTATGGAAAGATACCATTTCTTGACTCAAATACACTTTTCCCAAAACCTTCTTCTCTCTCCCAGTTGCCAWGCCTGCTGATAGTCTTATTTATTACTGCTTAACAACACTGACTGCTTGCCTTCAAATATTAATTGGCACTTCATCTGTCCATCACATTAGCATCTCCTTTTCTCATCACTTCACAAATTTATTCATTCATCTCATTTGTATTTTTTATTGTGCTCTTAAAAATTAAAATGCAATGATTTAGTTGAGGATTTTGAAATTAAAATCAAAACTCTGGAGCTTCCTTGATTTTTGCTTCTAGCCACTCATTTCCACTTGTTTATTTCTCCTCCAYATTTTTCAGTTTGTGATTTATTATTTGATTTATTTTCCAKATTTGTTCATCRTATWAAGTCTTAAASTCTTAATGTTAATSACTGACTGGTTATCAAGAYRTTCTGTTTGTGTGTGTGTGCTCTGCAGGCAGCCAGTCCTGCTGGGAGTAAGCCTACAGGGGTGGACCGACCTCAAAGCAAACCCACCTTCAATGAGAGGTCAGTGTGTTCATGTTTGTGTGATTAAAGCTGGGTGGCATACACACCTTTAAATGTTTTTTTTTTCTGTTTCATTAGCAAGGTATAAAATCAGTAACAGTCCTATCTCTAAACTCGTCTGCATTTATCACAAGTCTGACAGGCATAACAGCTGATTACTGCCTTGCATTTGTGTTGCAGCGTCAGTTGCACAAATATGGCAACAACTTTATACATTTTTTAACGTCTATGAGTTGACAATACCTATAGTAATCAAAATAAACTGACAATCTGAATAAAAATGTGTCATGTAAACGCCCCTATTGGAATATTCTTATCTGGTTCAGCTCAATCGGGATCAATTTATAATCCAAATGAGAGGGATGGTTTATGCCAATTGAAAATCCGAATGTCGTGCCTGAAAACACTTTTTCTGATCATGTTATTCTGGTTGTGGAAAACTGACCTGACAGTGCGTTTGTGCCCAATGCCAACCTGAAGTATTTCTGCCTGTCTGGTTGGGCACTATTGGAAAGTAATTATGATTAATTATGGTATTTAGCTGATAACGATTAATAGATTCATCCCCTAGGGTCCCTGGATGCCTGCATGCCCTAGTCACATGACCAATTTAAGTCACTTTAATGGGAAAGATTTGTTCTCTGTAAAAACTGGTTCCAACTTGTGTAAAAAGGACAGACTCCAGGCT